TCATGCCCACCTACACAACTGTGCCCCTTCCCTTGTGTCCTCACTAACACTCATACAAATGGATGGTGAGCCAGCCAGGGTGGCTGACTTCAGCCAAAAAGCTATTAATTTTTTTTTTTTTTTGGAAGGTTACTCCTTGCTGGATTGTCTCACTGAATTTCGCAGCTGCACAAGAAATTCAGTTCAGCCTAAACAGAACTGGGCCTGCACTTCCTTCATATCGCATCTGAGAGCATTCTGCAGTGCATAAAGAAACACACAATAGTATGTACTTCCCTCTTAACTGAGGTAGGGGCATGCTAAATAACTAAGTGCTAATTAACAAGGGGGTCATAACCTGTTTTATTCCCACTCAGTAAAACTTCACCTCAGACGTGCAGAAGTACCTCTTAATTCTACTCTATTCCTTAGTAATTTGTATTCAACAGTTTACATACAGTAAATAAAGGCTATTGATTGTATTAATATCTGCCGTATCATACACTAATTATGTATAGAGGTTCCCAATAAGCAGAAACATCACACTGTGAGGATAAGGCAGAAGAGGAAATACAATGATTCCAAGTAAATATCCCTTCTCCCATGATTTTAGGCCTTTACAGAACTACTCCCCTGATTTTATTCCTCCAAGCATTTTACAATCAAAAATTAATATTCAGCTTTGTACTTTTCAAACAGAGCATCTATTTTTCACCATCCATTAACCTAATCCCTTACCCCAAGAATATCTATTTTTCACAATCATATTCTAAGATTGTACTGTTTCTTGTAAGTATTTTTGGTTTTGCTGGTTTTGATACAGCTAAGGTACAAACTCCTGCAGGCAATGGCTCCCTTATCTCCCACACACAGCCCATAAGCAGAAAAGTTTTCTTTAGCCCAACACAAATAATATAATTGAGTCTAAGCGTATGCTTTGTTCTCTTCTCAGGAAATTATTTGTTTCCTTACAACTTCAGTTATGAAATACAAAATGTATTATTAGGCTTTCACAGTACTCAGGCTGAGGTCCATTACATGTTTCTTATTGGAAGAAGCTACACTTCTATTTCACAATAAATTACAACAATCGTGGGCATTATCACTGGCATCACTCGTGCCCTTTTACATTACTGAAGAGAGAAAAGCAAACCAAGACAAAATTCTTTATTTATATTTCTATGCTTTTTAGAGGAAACAGCACTTACTGAAAGTCTATCGGGGTTGTTTTAACTTAAATACTATGTGCCACATTCAACACTTCACTGTTGTTTAATTGTTCTATTTAAATGACCAGGTCTACCAGGTGACAATAACACCTCTCAGTGACACCATAAGCCTCAAAAAAAAAAAAAAAAGATATAAAGAGCAGCTTTTTCACTACCGTAAAATGTGGAAGCTACAACCAAGATCACTTTCAGCATGCTGCATGTAAAAATAGTTCAAATTATCCTTAACAGGCAGAGCTTGCAATCTGAACAGACAAGACAAAGGAAATATTATCCTCATACTTAAAAGGCACAAAAATATTAAGTGTAGGCAACACAGTCAAACTACAGTGGCAATTGGTCAAAGGTGCTCAGTTGCTTACATACACTAGTGACAGAGTAAGAAAGTAAACGGGAGCTTCCAATTCCCTGGTTCCTATCCCACCCATAGTCCCCATATCAAACTTTCTTGGATAGAAAAGCATCCGCTTGTTCTTGAATAGCAGGAGAATCTTTTCCACAATTCAATGCTGCTTCCTTTATCATCAAGGCCTATGAATTAGTGACCTCCTCTATGTCACACTTCCCATGCAAGGAAAGAAGATTACAAATCATCTGTCTGCAAATGTAGTTTCAAATGACACAGTTTTGAAAGACATACATGTAGCGTTCTGTTCAGCACTATGGAATTTGTAGTACTGTGCAATCTGCCTAAATCAAAGAGGAAATAAAGATCCATTTCTACTCAGATAGTCCTTCATGCTTGCTAACAGTCCTGCAGGACAATGGAGTGCTCTTACTGAAATAAATTATGACCTGTTTTTACCATTACCAAACGTCTTGCATGCAATACAGTCTCAGGTTTTGGACAGGGCATACACCAAAAATCAACCCCAGAATACTGTTATATAAAAAATATTTGCAAATGCAGTTCATTTATTGTTGTGATTTTTAGAATGTTCTGAAACATTGTCTTCAGTGCCCTGATATCAAACTTCAACATAAGTTTTATCTCAGTCTCGCATGCCAAGAAAAAACGAAGAATGCATGTAGAAGTTTTATGACAACTCCATGCAGAAGCATCTCTTAACTTCAGCCAGTTTTTATCTGATTGTCAAAGCTGCACATTGCAAACTCATTCTCTACAAGTATTTTTTTATCCACTGCAACCCAGAAAAAGAGAACAGAACTTGCTGACTCTTCATTTCATAGCCAGATTTTGCAATACTGTAAATTCCTGTTTGCCTACCATACAATGACATTTTCTGACTTCATTACTTCATTTTTTTGAAATCTGCAGTGTATTTTTCTAAGTACACTTTCTGTATTTTCTCAGTTGTGCATGATGGTTCAAATTCAGTTTGGAAACACTGTTTTCCAGATTAAAAAAAAAGTTTGCCTTTTCAGATTCAGCAGTTTCCTAATTACAGCTTCTGTGGAGATGTTTGATTCCTTATTTCCTTTCTTTCATCAGCATTTTACAGTTCTGAGTCCATTCACCCCCCCACCAATGTTAGTCTTGCTATAAAATTGGTCACATTTTATGTCATATTCTTTTAATTGGGCCTGTAGTAGACATGTTTTAGGCTTCCTATTTGTCCACAAATTTTTCTCTAGATTTATTTTAGGTTGTACAAATACCAAAATCCACTTTTCTTCTTGCAGTGGAAATCAAGGATTCTTTCAGGCTAATTACAATATTTCCTTAGAGATTATTCCAAAGGAGAAAAAGAAATTACTCCTTAGAGCAAGATGACATAGTATGACAGTTTACAAATCACTTCCCCTGGAAGAGTCCAAATTGTCCAACTAGATCAGGTATTCAAAGGGACAAAGAGAACCTTAACTTACGTAAAATGTAAAATCCTTAATTCATAATTATTTCCCTCATAGGAACACAGTACAAATACAAATAATTCACTGTTTGTAAAGCTTTTAACAATTCTGAGTTTGAAGGGGACTTTAGAAATGTAAAGCAATTTTTTTCAGTTTATCCAATCCAAACAAATTTATTTCAGAACTTGTGTATCAGGGTAGCCCTGTGAAACAGAACAGTATTTGTTGATTTTTAAAAGACTTAGAAGGTGGCTGAAGGTCTGTTTTATACAGGAAATTACACTAAACCTTTAGGTTTTTTTTTCTTCTGGCTATATAATGCATCTATCTGAGATTGGGTGGCTACGCAGAGACATTTTTTATTCCATATCCAACTGCTGGAACTAATGACGGTACAGGAATATCACCGAATCACTTCAGGCTTCTAAACCACAAAGTCTCTGTTATTTTGGACTCACAGCTGCTTTTCTGAATGAATTGTGATAATAAATTCTGTTATTGCCAAAGTCAGTGTTCTCAGGCAGAACTAACTACATTGCAGCCCTCACAGAACATATAACCATTCATTTTTAAGCTGCATGACTTTTTGTAGGGTATCACAAACACAGTATGACACCTCCGTATAGCTAACAATTATGTAGCATTCCTAGAGGTTTGCAGCTGAGGAATGCTTTGCTAAAGAAGTTACATCCATGGTATGGTAATTCACTTCTGTGAAGCCTTGACTGGCTTTAAGGACACCAGTATCTCTGTTGGAGCCAACCTGCACTAAGCTTAGCTTATCTGTGGGCCAGCTATCACCCACTCACTGCACATATATTCTGACTCATTCAGTCACACCACTATGTATCATGAAAATGTACTTCAACAATGTGACTAAATTTTAAACCATAACAGTTATGTAAGAGGGACCTGGACCAAATTAAATCCTGGATTAGGTGGTGGTATTGCAATGTTCTTAGCACACAGTGGTCTCACAGATGTTGTGCACTGCTGAGGAGTGAGTACATCATTTCTCTGTGACTCATGAGAATAAGGTATGCAAGAAATTAACCGAAACACCACCTCTATTTTTCCAGAAAAAAATAAAGCACCCCACTCAAGGCCATGCCATTAGTTTTTGCCTTGACAGAGTCACTGAACACTAGTCTTACTGAGGTTTACAGCAACAGAGGAGAGGCAAAGAACCAGGAGACCATGTCTATTTTTTATCTCAAAGCAGTTCCCAATATTTATGAAAACAAAAGCTTCTTATGTCTGAGAAGTTACTCAAATTTGAGATTCCTGAGGCATTATGCACTCCTAGGTCTAGATACATACCACAGATTTATTCTTACTCCCTAATGGGGCAAACATCCTCAGGAAAAACAACAGGTGTATTGACAGGAGAGGATCTATGTCATACTTTTACAGATCCTTAATCTGAATGGTTAGAAGATCAAGAATCCATGGCAGGATCCAGGACAAGAAGTCCGCGTATACACAGGCAGAAATTACTTCAGTTTGGCTCCATCCATCACTACCAAAAAACCCCAAGTCCCTTCTATTGCCAACAGTGATCCCAATCTTTGTGACTTTCTGTAGGGAGAGTTTGTACAGAAACAAACATTCTCGGCACTCTGCAGTTTAAGTTCCACCAGTTTTCCCCACACTTAAGTCCATACCAAAACCCGTACTGACTGAAAGATGTGCCCTCATTGCTATAACTGAGCAGAAAAGCAGCAAATTCCTTTCATAAAAAGTCACTGGCTCTCAACTGTTCAATGGCTTATCCCTAGAAAAGTCTATGATATTGACATTAAGCTAATCACCATCTGTTTCCTAATACACATTTACATATTATAAGTGTACCTTGAGTCCAATCCTACACTCGTTCATTCATACAAAATAACTGGCTTTGATTTCCTCACAAATCAGAAAAAAGATTTAGTCCCTTTATATGAATCACAAAGGAAAAATTTAATACAATTTACTTACCGAAGGATTTCTTTCCGAGTGAAGAACGTGCAATCCTGTTAAAAAAACCAGAAAATATGTTATAGTACTATAGAAATATTGAAAACTGCAAAGAATTATTTTTCAACCTTTTGGAAGGAAACTCAGATCTGGCAGAAAAACATTAAAGATGCCATTTGAGTACCATCTGCTTCTGACTCAGAGAGCAATATACGCTATAAAATAACTGAAATATCTCAAGGACAGGGCTATCAATAAAAAAACCCCAACTGTTAATGTGAAACTTCAGGAGAAAAAAAACCCTAGCTTGCTGAAATACTTCTCCATTGTGGAATGACCAGACCAGAAACAAAATTAAATGAAAAAAGGTATAGGCCAAAAACATTCAATAAATGGATCTAGAAAGCTATAAATAACAAATAAATGAAGAAAACTATCTTCTAACTTGGAATATTCCTCTATTAGAGACAACTGATTTAATAAAAAAAGTCATGCACTTATAAGTTATTAACTCTTTTTGCTAACATTTACTTTGCACTGTGGTCACTTCAGCAAAGACTGCAAAATCCTATTGGTTAGGAACACAGATAAAAGGACAGCCCCTGCTCCAAACAGCAGGCAAACTATTCAGCTTCCCCTGTGGTATCACAGAATTCGAAATGACTTACTAGAATGTAAAGTAGAGCTGGCAGAACATGAAAGAAGAGCTTACAAGCATTCACTTACATTCTAAATGGCTCTGTGGTGGGACTACATTTACACCGGTTTAATTCACTCTGGAACATCAGTGTTTTGCTAGAAGAATTCACACGCTTCACAAAACAACCATAATATGAGCAGTGAAATAGTTTGCATTTCGTGTATTTCTACATCAGTCACAAAACAAGTTGTATTTTCAGGTGCTGTGAGGAACCATAATAACCAGTCTCATCCCATTAACAAAAATAGCCCCTAATCCCCACTATCTTATCTAATGTATATTTAGGGCAAATTCTACCCTGCATCCGAAACCAGGAACACTGGTGGCAATGAAATATTGGATGATCAGTTTAGAACATTGTTCAGGTCATAAATTCAGAGAATATGTATCTTCTTGTCTTAGAGCTAGTGGCTGATGAGGGCGTATATATAGGGAACACCAACCAAACCACAAAATTCTTCCTGATTATTCACCTCCGTCACAGGCCCATGTGATGTGGCAAGGCATTTGCCTAAGAATTCAGCTCTTAGTAGTTTTCCTCCTTAATGTAAACATATTTAAAATAGGTAATATTTTTAAATCAGCTAGTGACAAGATAACAATATCAGCCTTAGTAAGTCATACTTAAGAGTACCTACAACTAGTATGTCTCCCCCAGTCCTGCTGTTCAGTCAACTAGTGAAAAAGCATTTCTTCCCTAAGCTGAAAATCATTCTGGCTAAATGCCTGCTTCTTCCAAGGAGGGGAAAAGCAAATGATCACTGCTAGCTGAAGCAGTCAAACAGCTTGTCTCAGGTATCGAGGTATGCTATCAGTCCTGCATGGTATCAATTATTGAGTTTGCTTGCTCTCCTCCATATAAAGTGGCAGGAGAAGCAGCTCTTCCTTTAGTGTATTGTGTAGCAGAATAGCGTTACAAGGCACAATAGGAAGCACCTTGTGAGCTGCTGTCACTGATGTCACATTGTCTGGAACTGCACAAAGTGAAATAGGAGCCAGCTGGTTAAGTCTTCATTAATTCCAGCACATTCAACACTTACAGTCAAACTGTCACTTAAGGATGCTTCATTTACTAATGAAAGGCAGGTGCAATCTCACAAATAATTGTAATGCCCTCAGCAGCAATCATGCCGTAATTATACAGGGTTGAGAAAATAGCAGACACTGTTATTTAACTAGAAAGCTGACAGGGAATGGATATGCAAATGGAGATAAAGATGAAAAAGAAACGTTACCCTTTACCTTCCAGAAATCATGCAAAAATGCCATTGGAAGACACATTAAGAGATCAGATCACAAACTTTTTTTGCTGAAGGTCCTCGTATTTTTTTTTTTTAATCTGAGTCGCCTCACATCTTTGACAACAAACACTACTGTCTGCTTTTTTTTTTAATCAAACAAAATTTTACTAATATAATCTAAAAACTACTGATATTGAAAACCTTTATAACAAAAGTACTTGCAAGTATCTGCCTGACCACTGTAACTAACTGCAGTATTCCAATTATGCCTGCCAATTACATGGAATTGTGTGTCAGGGATGAGGGGTGTCAAAAAAATTTACAGTGGTTTCACAGACCACTTGCAGACATCTTAAAGCTACTCAGGGCCAGAGCACCACAAATTAATTGTGACCTGGCCTATATTTTTGATCCACAGCAAGATCATACACACCACTTAAGAAATGCTTTACCATCAAGAACCGTGTCCAGTCTCACATGGCAAATGTAAGAGCCACGGCTCCAGGCTATCTCTGAAAGGGAAGTCCAGCCATCTGTCTTGCTTCTCCCAGCTTCTTACTTCTGCCTCTTCCTTTACGTGGACTTCACACCAAAATGAGCAGCGTAAGTGCATCAGAGAACTCTGAAGGAAGGAACTCATGTGTTTGGAAACTAACCTAGCAAAAATTGATTCATTTCCAGCTTGGATCATTTCCTTTTAGTGGCTTAGAATATAGAGTCAGTAGTGCTGGTACAAGAGATGAAGCTAAAACAAGCATCTATTGATTCCAGGAAAGGGGTGCAGGACTGCCTTTTTCTTTTTTTTTTGAAAGCACACCCCTAAGTTGGATTAAAGTCATGATGGAACAGGGGTCTCAAGAACATAATTACATTTCATAGTTGCTGGAACTCTAGCAATTTAATTCCACTATAATTAAAGACTTTTGGCCAAAGAAACACGGAGGTGAATCATCCAATTTTCTTCTGGCTACTTCATTCAGACAGAAAATACAAAATGATGGAAAATAAATAATAAACTAACATGTTAAATTAATTCCCTCATAAGGAAAGGTGAAGTGGGTCCTGGAAAGCATCTGTTATTTATGCATATGATGACATTCATCTTCCTTCAAGCCAGAAATATCATGGAACACATTTGCTATTATATGTACTGTATTTGAATTTATTATGAACTTAAAAAGCAACCTGTCTATTCTGTCTGGACACTAAAGCCACTGGGAGTCCTGCTAGAAAAGCACAGACTAAATACTGAACACATAAATGTTACCAGAGTTTTCATAACTCTTATCAACTGAAGAATTCTGGCAAGAATTTAACCTGAGAATCATTGCTTTTATTTCTAATGCTATACAATGGCCTGAAAAATTTCTGCTAAGAGGAGGCCCTTTGGGAGTTTTTAGAATAGAGGCTTTGACTTGAAAGGTCACCTACTCCAGCCCCTGAGAAAATGCGTGCTCCTTTTCTAAGAGCAACTGTCCCACTCAGTCTGTCCTTGTGCCCTTAATAATCAAGTTAATTAGAAGTCTGACAAAGGATCGCTGCTGGTTTTCTGAAGGCAAGATACCACTTAAACAAATCTGCAATTACCCACTTAACTTCCTTATGTCTAGCAAAGTGAATAAAATAAAGCAAACAGAAAATTTCCCATTGATTTCAATAAGATCATTACCTTATATAATGGGAGCTGGTTCTCAAATTTGGCATTTAGGTGGCTTAACTGGTTCTTAAAATATTTTGCAGAGAAAAGAGTCAGCTAGCTGGTGTATTTAGGTTCCATGGATGGCTTTGCTCTTGGCTGGTAGCGTGACTTTCTGCAAGTCACTCAACATTGCTTGTAAAGTAGGGTTAATGGTCTCTACTCTCAAAATTTACTTTATAAAAGAGCAGAATGTACAGGCTGTTAGAGTCTTATTCTTTGACTTCCTATGTCAGGTGAATGCAGGTTTAGGACAAAACAGGAACAGACTGGAATACGGTGGTCCACTACCTTTTCCACTAGTCTGTAAGGCTTTACTGCAAACTCCTAGATCAGTTCTGCTTTATGTTTATTCTACAGCAATTTGAACAAAAAATAGGAATAGCGATAACTGTGCTGAGAATGCCAACACTTAACTGTATGTAAAGTGTACATACAGAACGTAACATGAGGTATGGCTCCAGAATCAGATCACATGTCATTTGTTCCGCTGGATATATTGCCAATACCAGAGCGCAGCACGCAGTTTATGAATGGCAGCAGGGTCCACTGAATGAAAGATTATCACTTACCACTTTTAGAAGCAGGTATCATTGCACACAAAGCACAGTTTTCAAATAAAACTAATTTCACATAAGCAAAACGCTTCTCTACAGAAGAAGAAAACTGGAGAAAGGAACAACAGAATGAAAGAATAGCAATGCTAAGTATGCAAAGCTACTGTGAAATAGTATTTCTTAAACCCATAAAATGCATATTTCTCCTCTAAGACAATACATATATAATCCTGCCTTTTATATGTATAGTTGTATAAGGGCGGGTTTTTTCTGATCCTGCAGCAGCTCCATTGGAAAGTTTTATAAGTAAGGAAATAATATAAAACAGTCTCAGCAATACAAAATTACTCGAAATTAGAAAAACAGTCTCAAACAAAAGCCAGCAAGCCACAGACAAAGTAAACCGATGACTAACAAGAATTTTGACAATATCTTCAAGGCAAGACAGATCAGATCCATATAGCTATCTTACCGAGCAGCTTTTGAGAAATGAGAAGTACTGAATGCTGCAGCATTTTAAATGTTAATATTTCGAACAAATTATTTCAGAGGTTTCATTTAAAAAAAAAAAATCACAAATTACGTCTTGTACTGTGCCAACAGTAAGAACATTTAATCAAAACACCATAAAAACATCATCCTATGAAGTAATCAAAAAATCTAAGTTAAAAGGTGCTAGATAATAGAAGCAAACGAACTTTCACATAAGATCTATTATTAACTCTATTCTGGTAACATTTTACAAATGCAATACTTTTTATTCTAGTTGCCATACAACTAATAGTGGCATAGAGTTGTGCAAGACTGAGTCAGCAAAATATTTATGTATTTTCATCACTGTAAATATATAAAGAGTTACTGTAAGTCAATGAGACTAGCGCCAGTCTTTAAGTTGCATAGCTATGCAAGTACTTCAGCAAATCCAGACTTAAACACTAAAAAAATCATGTCGGAGTTAGTATCTGCATTAATAATAGTATCAGTATATGGGCTTTTTATATTAAAAAATGCCAGTTGCATCAGCATGTCAATGGAGATTTTAACATCCAGCCTATCTTTATTTGTAATCAGATATATATTTTAGAACAACAGCCAGAACAACTAAAACACCCACTGAGTTTCAGGAGGAAAAATCTACAGCTATAAGAACCAGTTTATATAATCATACTGCAACATGGGAGTAAAAACACTTAGACACTAGCAAGAACTGAGGAAAACGCAAACTGTCAACAAATGTAATTTTGCTCAATCTATACATGCACCAAGTGGTAACGTGAAACCAGAATCTGACTACAGGATAATTTTGCAAAAACTTTGTTCCACTATTATGCTACTTAAATTTGCACATTAACAGCAATAATCTAACAAACTGAAAAGTACTTTTAACAAAAGATCGTGGAGAATCTGTGATGAATACACTTTCTGTATCCTTGCAAATGGTTCATTTTCATCAAAGATCCTGATTAAGTCAAGCACAGCTTTTTAAATCAAAAGATAGCTTGATTACCCAGTTTCACTCTATAAATGGCATTTCTTGACAGATCATAACTTAACTTGTTTCATCTGGTTTTGCATAATTCTCCTGAAATATAGGTGAATCCCATTTTGACTAGGATTTAAATAAAAGGAAAAAAGTTAGGTCTGTAATAGACAAATTCTTGTGTAAAAGTAGTAAGTCATTATTTCATATTACTATCTTTTTTTGCAATATTGCCTAGAAGACAGCCAGGATAAGCATCAGTTTGTTTTGAGGCTGCATTATATAATGTAAATAATCCCATTAATGAACAAATGCAAAAAGAAATGGCTTGCAATAAAACCAGTAATATCTGATGCAAAATATTTGTGCCCTATATTCTCTAGTTTCTGACTATTAGGAAAAAAATTAGAACCAAATTTGTATCAAATTCAGACCACTTATTTGAGTAACCCCAGAAAAGGCAATGAGATTGATTTAACCATGGAGTAGTTTGTTCATACCCCAGGCACAGCTTCTATGCATTTCCTACTCAATCTAATTGTTTCTCATCGAGAAATACAGTGCACTGAGGCCAATATACAGCTCTGATGTCACTTTATTGTATACCTGTATTTTCTATTGCTTCAAGCATCTTTATACAGCATCACTCAAAAACCCCTAAAATTCTTGTTCATATTCTTTTCTCATTATGAGACTTGACCTCTAAAATCTGTAGACAACTTTTAAAAGCTTAATTTTAAAACATTCCTTCAACTGCAATGAAAGACACCTTTCTTGCGATTAATACTTACCTTTTCCCTAGCCAGACCTTTGTTAGATTTTGCATTTGATGTAAAAAAAAAACAACCCACCCACAAAAAAAACCCCAAAACAGTCAAGTACTCTAACAGCATAAGAATCAGAAATCCCCAGTAGAATTAATTTTCTTACAAGGCTAACTTTTTAAATTATGTGAATCTCAATGAAGAAACCAATGCTTGCAAAAGCCTGATTTCCAAAATATCTCACTAAGCTTATGAAAATTTGAAGAGCTGCCAACTAGAACACTATCTTAATAGCAGGTTATATGATCTTAATAACAAGTGATATGACAAGGTGTTAGGAGATACGCAGCCTCCCAGTCTTTCTTTAATTTGCCTCTAACTTTTTTGAATAAAAAAAGCTGACAGGTTTAATATTATCAAGTCCTATTAGGCATCTCTCTTAAAAACAGTTTCACCTGGCCACCCATCACCAGCCTTAATGAAGAGTATTCAAAATACTCGTCTATTAAAAACATTGAGGTCATCTTGAGGGTGACCAGATTTACAATTATTTAATGTAAATGTAAGGGTTCTGCTAAAGAGTGATGCTTCAATATGACAGTTTATATGCAAAAAAGTTTACACATGGGCATTTCAGAAAATTTTAGACAAATAAGGTTATTTTATTTCATTAATATCATTAATGATCTGAGATTTATGTATGCTAGTTCTTCAAGCAGGTGATTTTCCTGCAGCTTAATCTACTCCTGAAAACCAAAGACACTTGCATATGGTTTTACCATACTTTAAGCACAAGAACTTCTCACTTTTCCATCTCATAGTGTCTCCTATGGAACATGTGCTTAAAACATAATGTATTTAAAAAAATAATAAAAATTGCACTACTAAAGTAGTATTTAGGTACTATAAGCTCAGAGCAATTTGTGTTAAAGACAAAAATGGTGGAAGTTACAACCAGATAATATAATAGCCAGAAATATATTCAAAATAAAGAAATTATAAGTCTAACCATGAGGGGAGTTAGGTTTTGAACAGTCTTCTAATAGGACCTGTGGGGAAGTAAAAAACCCAAACAACTATTTTACAAAAAGGATTAAGCTGACTCTTTTGCTTCTGCCATACTGATACTATGGATGCTGTAACCCTGGGTATTACTGTAAGGAGTACAGTACCAACTCACAGATGTACAAATTCACAAGAAGTTGCCTAGTTCTCATTTGGAAAAAGAAAAAAAAAGATTAATCAATGATCCATTTAAAAAGCAATTTATACGTAGATGCCTGGCTGTACATTGGGCTACAGATGTGCACAACAGACTGTTGCAAAGAGGACCCGGGTACACAATGTTTTACTTTGGTCCAGTGTTGAGGACCTGGCAACCCAACTGCTGGTTCAAGAAATGAAAAACCTGCATTTTAAGAATTATGGAACTATTACCCCATTCTCCCATTTTCTGTTCTGAAGGAATTCCACAAATGAGAAAAATGCAGGTTAAGATGGCAAACTCCAAGTCAAACAGCTCCATTTGTGTTACAGCAACTGCATACTCCCCCAGAATGCAGTGGAGAGGCAAGACCTCTCTGTGTGGATGGCTACAGCAATAAGCCCAGGATTTCCATGTTTAAAAGATCCAGGAGGTATGCAACAACTAACAGAACAGACACAAATCACCACCAAAATAAGAACTTTATCTGTTTGTTCACAGCATGAGGCTAATATTCCTTCCTGACAAACCCTGGAGGTCAGTTTTGTCCTGAAACTTGTTATTTTATTGTACTTACCATATATAACAAGTGCTATTACTAGTCAAGAATTATCTAGCACTATACTAAGGAACTACAAGTGCGCCTGTAACAGAGAAATCCCGCGGGCTGACTCAATCCACTGGGTCTAACTACTGCCAGGCTTTGAGATCAATTACCCAGCATTATCAAAGGCAGGGGCTGCAAAAGCCATTAGAGAAAGGCAATTTCAACATGAACAGTAGTGAATTAGGGATGACATTTCAGCTCTTGCATTTGCCAGTTTATGTCAAGAAGATAACATTAATTACACTTGGATTTTGTTTTGTTTCACTGCAGTTGGGCTCTGTTCTGTGTTCACTTTTATTGTTAGTAGGAAGACAGGCACTGAAGTTTTACAGATCTTTGATCTCCCTCTTGCCCATCCAGCAGGGATATAAAAAAGCCTTTTCGGCTCTTAGACTGTTAAGTCTAAAACCACTAACTTAGACTAATATATTACAGTGACAGACTGCTGGTGAGGGTGAGATGTGTGACAAAGTGGAAATTAGAGAAGCTCCATTTTCACATTTTCTACAATGACAAGAAAAAGGCTAGACATTTCATAAGAGCACTTAATTTATGCCTAATTTTCAGCATGGGATAAAATTTTGAAGCATTTTAAAGCATTTTAGCATATATCCCTAGCCTGAGTCTCTGTGGCTAAATATCTACAGCTGTGAAAAGTCCATGTTAGCAGTAACTCCAAAGAAAATTAGTATTTAAAATCATAGTTTCTACTTCAAGGGCTTGAGTCAAAGATCCTGAAGGTAAAAAGAAAATTATTTACTTTTGCGTGCACTGGATCTGTCCCTTGATTATCACGAGATAAACTAAATCTTGATTTCCTGCACTGTTAATTCTATGTTTATTGCTTCATGTAGGAGAACAGAGCAATGCAGCCAGCCCTGTCTGCATCTCATAATAAGTAGTCAGCTGCCTCTTTCTTCAGCACACTTCTATTTGATATATTTCCTCACTGTATTTTCAGAAACTTGTTCAAGATGCCCACTGTGCAGATCGCTTCCCTCAATCCACTTTAGTAAGACTTGCATTGTGCTGAAACATGACTGAAAACTGGGAAATTTTTTTTTTACCCTATTAAAAAATCAGTTGATGCAATGTGAAGTAAATAAAGAAGTATCAATAAGCTGGACATAAAATGGATATTTCTTCTGTTAAGGTTAGAAACTGCCATCCAGGAGCAGATGCAAGCATAAGGATACCTATGCTGGAATTACATTAAGCATATTTCTATTACTTATCCTTAAGAGAAGTGAAATTAGACAAGACCTTTTTTTTTTCCCCCTTTCCCCTCTATTGTCAGCAAAGGCATCAGGGAGAGAAAAAGAGGTTATTGCTAGACTTTCTTCTCTACATTCCATAGAAAGATTCTACTAAAAACTCCCATTGTCAAGCTAGTCACAGTCTTTATCCTGCTTCCTAGTTGAGACATGGAAGATTTGACTCCTTTCCCTGTATACAGAGAAAGGAATTAAACTGAGTATATTCAACAACCCAGCCTTAGAATACTATTACAAATGCTGGAAGGAACAATATAATATATGCATGCAGGCTACAAATTAAGGTTTTGTTTATATTTGGGAAAAAACACTCCTCCAAACAAACAAACAAAAACCCAACAAAACCAAACACCCCACAAACATGTGAAGATTACTTCTTTCCTTCCCCTAATGCAAACTAAGATATCTTACCTGGTAGGCATCTAGCTGTTCATCAGTAAATATCGTTTGCTTATTACCCATCTTAAATGAGGAATTCTTCCTCTATGCAAATGCATCCCATTAGAAGTAGCTGGATTCCTCTGTATTGTAGGCATTTAGAGCACGTATATGCCGCGAATGCGCTGAAAAAATCCCAAAGCCTGCATCGAACTGGTTTTGACTGTACCTGTCCAATGAGGAAGGACGCAGTACTGGGAATCTTGGCAAAGGCTTGACTTGAGTGTACTAGGAAGGAAAGCGTTAAAATCACAGGCAGGTGTCGCCCAAAACCGGTGATGCCATTCTCCCCCTTTTTCAGATGCTTTCCTAAGAGGCATACAGAGCTTTTATAACATAAAAGCCGGGTAGCGGCACCTTGGCAGCTCAGAGCAGCTTTGCGTCACCCGATGGCGCTCGGCAGCGCAGTCGTATTACCCAGGCACGGCGAGCAAACCTACGAGAAATTATTGCAAACTAGAGAAATGGATTAGCAGAGCAAACGTTTCCGCATTTGCCCTCCCCGCAGATACAAGCACATCCCAGCCAGTGCCTGGATCTGACCTGCCCCACGCTGCCAATGTTCAGTACAGCTGGACGGAGGCTCCAAGTGTCCGGAGCGTCCCCGCAACATCCGCGGGTGCCGCGGGGGCTCCGCAGTGAAGGCTGGTGCCTGCTCGGGAGCTATAACCAGCCCTGGCTATCAAGGATGCGAGGTCGCTGCCAGAGGTGCCAAACTCCGAGGTACACCTGTGAATGCAAGTCTTCCTTCTCACATTAAACAATTAAAAAAAAAAAACAAACCAACAAACAACAAACACCCCAAACGGGAAGATTAAAGTAGTTTAAACAGACGTTGATCTGACTCCATCGTGTCAAGCGAGCACAGCTGGAAAGAAAAAAATGCTCCTCCAGCCTAAAGCAAAGGTAGGAAGTACCACTAGAGGGCTCACAGGGTATTTTTAAATACTACAACCCTATTTGCGTTTTCCTGGGAAAATAAATTTTAAAAATGAAATAAAAGAGTATGTAAGAGATGCAGACAGACAAAATGAATAAACTCAAACAAAATTATCTAACATCTGCAGACGGATAAGCTCTTATAACAACAGTAAGAAGAAGGCTGAGCGAGAAAGGATGGGAACAGTGAGGAAAGACCTGTTATGATTAAGTTTCTTGGGACTGCTCACTTCCCATTGGTGCGCTGTGATGGGTTGACCCTGGCTGGATGCCAGGTGCCCACCAAAGCCGTTCTATCACTCCCCCATCCTCAGCTGGACAGGGGAGAGAAAAATATAACAAAAAGCTTGCGGGTCGAGATAAGGACAGGAGAGATCATTCACTAGTTACCATCACGGGCAAAACAGACTCAGCTTAGGGAAAATTAGCTCACTTTTTATTACAAATCAGCCAGAGTAAGGTAAATGAGAAATAAAACGAAATCTCAGAACACCTTCCCTCCACCCCTCCCTTCTTCCCGGGCACAAGTTCACTCCCGGATTTCTCCACCAAGCCCCCCCAACGGCACAAGGGGGACAGGGATGGGGTTTACGGTCATCACACGTTATTTTCTGCCGCTTCACCTCCTCAGGGGGAGGGCTCATCACACTCTTCCCCTGCTCCAGCGTGGGGTCCCCCCCACGGGAGACAGTCCTCCACGAACTTTCTCCAACGTGGGCCATTCCCACGGGCTGCAGTTCTTCACGAACTGCTCCAGCATGGGTCCTTTCCACGGTGTGCAGTCCTTCAGGAGCACACTGCTCCAGCGCAGGGTTCCCACGGGGTCACAGCCTCCTTCAGGAACCCACCTGCTCTGGCGTGGGGTCCTCCCTGGGCTGCAGGTGGAGATCTGCTCCACCGTGGACCTCCCTGGACTGCAGGGGGACAGCCTGCCTCACCATGGTCTTCACCACGGGCTGCAGGGGAATCTTCGCTCCGGCGCCTGGAGCATCTCCTTCCCCTCCTTCTGCACTGACCTTGGTGTCCGCAGGCTTGTTTCTCTTACATGTTCTCACTCCTCTCTCCGGTGGCTGTTTCTCACTGTCCCAACTTTTTTTTCCTTCTTAAAAATGTTATCACAGAGGCGTTACCACTATCACTGATTGGCTCGGCCCTCTCGAACACAGGGGAAGCTTCCAGCAGCTTCTTACAGGAGCCACCCCTGTAACCCCCCCCGCTACCAAAACCTTGCCACATAAAACCAATACATGCGCATAGGAACAGGAGAGGGTTCTCTGTACCTTCTCTATGTACCGGTCTGCCAATGGTCCTTATTTGCTCAGCAAGTTAGCGTGCTTAATAAAAACACCTGCAGAATTATCTTGTGCTTTTTACTACAGCTTCTAATGATCCTGACCTGGTAACGGCATTGGGTAGTATGAGTTCAATTTACCTTAGCATAGAACAACAAAGAACAAACATTTAACAATAATACTGAAAGTAAATATATTGTATACGTAGTAAAAAAATCCTATGAAGCGTGTTGGATATGTAGTAAAAACATTCTAAAGTGCTGAACCACAGACTCAGACTGTTCAAAGAGATGACTTCGATTGTAACATTAAGAAATGCAGATTTGATTAGCTGCAAACCAGCACTGTCCTGAGCTAAAAAAACCACAAGGTATTAACATATATACAAAATAAATAGATTGGGATGAGAATGTATTCAACAAGGCTTATTAGTGATAAGCAAACATCAGAACTTTAAGTGAAGGAAATGGATTCTACCAATAGAATGTATCACAGCACAGTTTCAGAAGAAGAAGGAAGAAGCTACAGTAGTCAGGACAAAAGAAACCCTGAATGACCTACCATGAGATCAAGAGTGCAGCAAGCATCTATTCCAATATCAGACGGTTGAATCGACTTGTTTGTTACGTGGCCAAACTGACCTCTGTTTTTCTAGCCACTAGTGTCGTGGGCTTTTTTTGTTTTCCCCAACATACAGCGGCATTGGATTCGTTACGTTCTAAAAGATTCTCCACAAGCGAAGTCAGAAAGTAAAGAAGAAAAAAACCCCCTATTTATTAAAAGTACTCTTTTAACATGCTTTTCTTGAATCAGAAAACAACAATCCTTAAGGGCCTCTTGAGATTTAGAACTTGCACTGTTCCGAAAGTTCTTACACATCCTCAGCTCTGAATGAGCTTCATCAATGGCTTTAGTAGTTATGCATATAATTAAGCATGTTTCATATCTATGATCTGGTGCTACTGAAATAGAAGAGCTATCAGCTGTTCTCAGTCAGACCAGACCAATACTTAGTCAGGTGATTTGCATGAAATAGCACTCCATTCAGAGCCACCTGATTCAAGCTGCCTGTCTGTGCAAATCAGATTAAATATAAATGGCCAAATTATCTTTAATGCTATTATACAGAAGTGAATTGACACCAGGGGTGGATTGGGCTGCATATGTTTTAATCTTGTGGTTCTGTATACTTAACAGTATTCTTACAGTGAAAAGACTGACATCTCATTTCTTCATTTTTCACCTGCTTTTGTATTCCCAGCTGCCCGGTCCCCCTGTATCCTAGATGGCACACTTATCAGCTAGTCTCTATCTTTAGAATCGAAACAATAAAAATAAAAAGCAGAAGGGCTAAATGGAAAGCACCAACTAGGTAAGACTTACTTGTGGTTACAAAGTAGGCCAGAGGCAGAGATCCTGAGGTTCACAGACATATTCCTGTTTATTCCTTTGATCCTGGCTTTCCACTCTGCCACCTCCACTTTTCTCTTGCATATTAGAAATTCTTTGGGTTTATTTTAATGTAAAGAAATTACGCAGGAAAACTGGTATGGCTAAAAGAGTTGATTCCTTTAAAAGAGTTAGAAGTTCTTGCTCTAAAAGAAAGACTCAGCTTACCAAGGGAACAACACCCACTGAGTATATGGACAGAAAATAAACTGTTTCTTCAATTCTTGTTTCCATACTCCCAAGAGTATTTTTTATTAGTAAATAAAATTAAAATGCACAGATTTTTAAAAAGAGGATTCAAATACTGATCATTGAGGGGTCCACTGTACTAGCTAGCTCTTCTCAAGCATGCTATAGTGGTAACTGTATTTCACTGCCTACTTATCTTCCTATACTAACCGGGTAAAATTTAAAGATGATATAATGCACAAACTCTTTTTCGCTCCTATCTGTTTGTGTGTATCAAAGATCAGATAATCTTCCAGTTTGCTCTTTCCTCACTTTTTCTATCTGTTTGTATTTATCAAAGGTTAGTTTTATTTGCCAGCTGGGTGTTAAGCAATACTTACTCCCAGCACAAGTTACTTCAACAAATCAATACTTTTCTATGTGCATAGCAAGAGTTGACCTTAATGCTATCAGTACCAGCCTTCCATCACACTTTACTGTATTTTCACTACTCTAACTGTTTGCCAAAGCAAGTGATTTTAAGCTATTAGCAACACATAGCATACATCTTGCAATCAGTTGCAAATGAAGTTTATCAAGGAGGACAGTATACGTACAATAGTCTTGCCATTACACAGTCCATTATACAAGAGAACATGGTTAAGTAGCCACTGTTCATCTGCTCTAAAAGTTTAATTCATGGAGCAGAAAATATACTATCAACCATGTACACCAGATTTAATATTTTATAGTCAGCTGCAGTAGCTTAACACCCACCTAAGGCTGCAATCTGGGCCCAGCTGCAGGGACTTGTTTCTACAGCCCTAGCTCAGGCAGTGGGACAAATTATGCTAGCGCTCCTGATGGCCTTCAGTGCAACATCTCCTGCTCTGAACTGTTGCTAGCCATGGCTGCTACACCAGGTGACTTTGCTCTGATTTATGAGTAGAGGTGTAAGTTTAATAACCTCCAACAGATAGGTCATGCTACCTTAAATTGCCTCTGTAAATTATGCAGTGAGAATTTGACTGTGGTTTAAGTATGAAAGCTCCTATTCCTCTTCAAAGGAAGATCAAGCTACTATGAACAAAGATCGCTTTACCTGTTAATGAGAGGATCCACACAGAGTTTTAACAATCTAGCGCCTTCAATGCCGATGTTGGTTTGCTACAATTTTTAACTGGGGGGAAAAAAGAACCTGCAAGATTTCATGCCCATTACACCAAGTATTCCAACAATTTCTCTCTCACACAGATGTTTCTTTGCAGATTAGCTCTTCAGAAAGATTCTCTCCGTTAGCAAAAAGAACAGTTTTGATCTAGAAGGGTTGCCTGTACATTTATTTTGTTGCTACTCTCTATGAGTCACTAAAGGCCCCCTTCTACTGCAAGTGTAAGGACCAATGATCACTACTCACAATGATTACAAGGGAGTTCTATCCCCCACTGATGCTGTGGAAATTCCCCCCCGAGTCTTTGGGGCTTGTTTTATTTACTTGAAAGCTATTCACAATTCTGTTTGCTCACAGGCAAATGAGGAATAATAATGTTTACCACCAATAGGTGCTGTGGAGCTAAAATAATTAAAGCACTTGTGAGTTACTTAAATAAAGATGCTACAGAGCTACAAAACATCTCCTTTTTAATATGCTACACCAGCTGTCATAACTTGCCTCTTATTTAACAGTTATTGCAAACTAGAAATAAAAAATGAACTGTAAGTACACGGTTACAAAGTAGCAATCACAGTGAAATGTGATTTAAGTGAAATGTAAGTGAAAATGACAGTTTGATTTTACTGCAGTGGATAGAAAAGTTGCTTTTCCAACACATGACCAACAGGAGGATGCTTAGACTCCACTAAATTTGTCTGGAAGTGCTAGCCTATAAGAAAATGCTTCATGGGACTGAGCCCTATCATATGAATGAATAAACAGAACTTGAGAAAGATGCAAAACTCACAGCCCTCAAACCAATGAAAGATGCTGACTATCTGACTAAATTGCATTTGTTATGATGAGCGGAAACTTTCTGTACAGAGTTTTTAATGCTAAAGAAAACAAACAGAAAGGAAAACCTTGTGCCAAATTTGTTTTTATGATCTTAGCTATCTAGCTTAATAAAATACACTGTCTTAGAAGATGGAGGTTTCTGATTGCATTTCATTAAGCCTAATTTATGCATAATAAGTAAAATTTACTTTTTTTTTAAAAGATGCTTTATACAAGACAATGCTTTGCCTCAGGGACAAAATAATAATAAAGAAAGGTTTCCTAAGCAGACTAAATTTAATATAATTAATTTCCTCATAGGGAGTCTCAATAGAGTGATCACTAGGGGAAAGAAACTACTGCTGTCTCTATATAGGCATCCTTTTTTTCTAGGCAAAATAACCACTGATGGTTTTATTACTGTGTTGTTTAGCCCTTCTGAGAACAGATCCAAACCAGCCACTGTTAATGGCTTATTACTGTAGTATTATTATGGTAGCACCTATAAGACACAGATCAGAAACCTGTTGCAACAGCTGTTGAAAATATATGTAAAAAAGAATTTCTCCCCTCCCCTCAATTTACAATCAAAGTGTAAACCCAGAAAGTACATGCAGATACAGTCAGAAAACACAAGAAAACAATGTGAATATACTGATCAGCATAGCATAGCACATAATCAACGTTTATGGAGTCCTTTGATAAACATCATGGCAAAGAAACAACAAATACAAAGAAAGGAGTAAAACAGATATATATATCTCATGGGAAGCAGTACAGTAAAAACATTAAAAATTCAGCTAGTATGTCCTAGAAACATCATAGGTCAATCTGAGACGGAAGCAAGCCTCAATTTACAAAAGTGGAGGGGAAAAAAAAAAGAGAATAGGACATGTAAGCTGTGGAAAGTAAAGATGGCACAACAAAAGAGCCAATATGTGGAAAGTATGATCAAGCTTTGAACGAAAAAAATTATTTTACAGAAACATTTAGAACAGATATCTGCAGGGCCAATTTGGATTTTAAAGACTGAAATGAAAAAAACCAGCAGCAGTTACCAGAAGAAAGTCAGGATCAAGAAAATTGTGCACGCTTACCATTAGCGATAACGTCTGAGTGACTATTCTCAATCCAAAGCATTATCAAATATAAAATAAAACATACACCCAGTAGGCTGTTTCAACAGAGGAAAAATTGTGAGTACCTCTGGTGCCCTGTAATGGAAAAAAAAAAAAAAAAAAAGAGCAAGTGACCCCCAGAAAATAAGGGCTACTAATGCTGTATATTGCTGAATGTAAAGTCTTAGAATTTCTGCTCACATTTTCAAGACGAGAGCAAACTGAACACAGACTTAGTCCTTAGTTTTCAAGCACATACAGGACAGAGATAATTAAATGGGGAGGCTGCAAGTAATCTGATAACTCTATCACCAAAAACTGGCACAAAATTATACTGAGACAGAATCCAAATGTTTATGTTGCTAAAGTGTAAGACACCAAAGGTAGGGGGGGTTTCTGTCTTTTGAGTTTAAACTTCCAGGATATATTAGACTTATATTTTATATCACTCTTTGCAACCACTTGAGTTTAGAAATTCAGTCTTGATTTTGTATCAGAGCCGAGAGTCTAATCTATTCCTGTAATTAATTGTTTGACTTGACAACAAAACAGTTGACATAAATTGACTGAACAAAATTGCAAGCAACGTCAACACTGTTACTTGGACAGCAGAGCCTACCATGATCTTAAGAGAAAGCCTCTGCATCACTGTCTGTCTAAGCAGATCATACAGAAGGTGGAAGTATTATCACCATTTCACAGGTAGGAGAATCTTTTAAAAGTCAGATGAAGCGGTTATTCCCTCCTCCGGCGGCACCGGGCCGAGTCCACCCCAGCACCTCACGCACCGCTAAGAGCGACGGCTCTCCAGCAGCACCTCCGCCGCGTCGACCCCGGGGCGGCCAGGCGGGGCCCGGCCGGGCCGCTGGCACGCAGCTACCGGCCGCTCCCCGCGGTACCTCAGCGCGGCGCGGGAAAGGAGCGCACCGCCCTCGGCCGGGGCGGCGGAGAAGAGGGGAGAGTCCTTCCCGCCACAGAGGGCCGGGGC